TTTCGGTCAACCGTCGTGAAAACGGCTGTTCTGAACCTTTCTGAGCACGGTGCAAGCTCAAATACACATATGTTGCATGTTCCCATTCAATGATACATTAACCCTCGCCGGACCTATTGGTTTTCTACATACGCGCCGGCCGGGGGGGGGGGGGGGTTGGTTGGTACGATTTCCCTCGCCGTTTCGCCCCTGATGAAGCTAGAGCGTCGCGGAAAAAAAAACAAGCGTGTGCGCCGTTACAAGACGCAGGGACTGGTACCCGATTTTAAGGTCTCATGAGGTCAGGTCAAGTGACCAATGGCCAGGGTTCAGTTTTTCATAACTTCGCAAAAAAGCGGTCGGAGAGCCGCGATTTTGGCATCATCGTGTTCGCCTCGCTCAGGAGCGTCGAATGGTATACTTTTTGTTCGGGTGAGGTCAACTTGAGGTGTTGACCTCGGGTCAAGGGCAGGTCACCTCCCCCAGATCACGAAGCTGGTTGAAAGAGGTCATGTTACATATTACTCGAATCGACAGGTGTTCCTGAGTTCATTGGTGGCTTTCCCGACTCGCTAACTCAATTTGATGGGGAGTTATTGATGAAAAACTCTACATAATGACCCAAGTATATAACTGCAATGAAAACCGTAAGCCTCATGCTGATAATTATATTCAAAATAGGGCCAAGAAAATAAGACATGTTGGCCAAACTGACAAACTGACTTTTGTCAAACCGTCTTACGGTTTTCATTGCTCACTTCATTGCTCACATTGAGCACATATACCTGAGATACCAGCTTTTCAGGCTCCCATCATTTGTGACCACACATATGTATATATTTGTATTTGTCGCTGTAAAAGCGGTGCATAATAAAGAATGATGATGATGATGATGATTGCAGTTATATATGTAATCATGAGCCTCAAAACCGCGCTTTCTTTAATCAATGACCCAAGTGACCATAAATGACGCCACGCAATGTCAACAATGCAAAAGTGAAGCATCGGACCTTGCAAGGCGTGCAAGAAATCACTATTCCATGTGCTGGAGACAGTTTGAGATAGTTCTCGGCGCTAACATAGCAGTTTTCATTTTTCCCCATTGACTTATGCCTAATGGTGAGGTCACGTGGCCGACCTGACCTCATGTGATTTTTAGGGAAAATCCGAGATATATGTACAAGTTGTGAGACCTCTGGATGATACTACATCCTGTAAGTTTCATCTCCCTGTGAAAATTCCTCTGGCACTGACGGCGTGTTGCGACATCTGAGGACTGTGCAGAGGTTCACTTATGACGTCACAGGTCAGTGACCTGACCTGACCTGAAAATGCGGTTGGTGTCACAAGATGCGGCTCGGATCAAAGGTCAGGTATGCCAAGTTTCAGCTCTCTATCTCCTGCGTGTTCGGAGCTATCGTGAAAAACCCTATGGAGGCGGCACCCGCCCCCCCCCCCGCCCCCACGTCGGACGGCGAGGGTTAATGATACATGCAATTGCAGTAGGTACTTGATACGAGCATAAGGTTAAAACATGCCTAATTTCATTTCAATAATGACGCTCGAAAACGTCACAGCTAGACGAAAAAGAAAAACTGTACTTAAAGATAAGCGGATGTGAACACAATCTCCTTGACCGAATTCTTACAAAATGCAAGTCACGGGCCATGGCACCCCAGAAAACCTTGCTTAAAAAGACCCACTGAATCGCCACGAAATCAAGTGCTTTAACATAGGCGTGTCATCTCTATGTATATAAGATCTCTATGAGCAAAACGAGCAAAAACTGAACCTGAGTAAATCGAACGTCGACTAATTGTAACATGTGATTTCTTCCCGATAATTTCCATATGTGTGTTTTGGGACCATATATGAGAACAATGGTGACGTCATACTGTCGAACATGTATTGCAATGTAACTTATAACTATCATGGACGGAACTGCTTACTCGATTATAAGCTCGGCAACAGTGAAAAACTAAGTTTCACCCAAATTCGTTGACACTTGTTCCATTGCACGGACATTTGGGTGCCTGCTGCCACCAGTGACGTCATAATAGTATGTTCATTTTAAGAAACAATTTCCAGCTACTTACCGTGCACAATTTGACATCAGTTATTTTTTCGGTAAGAAATTCTTCGCCAGACACTGAAGCTGCCAAAACTCACGTGAGAGCTTCAATATTGAACTTTGAGCCAGCGTCCTTTTGAAAAAAAACGAACTATAATACCAGGCACACTTTGCAGGCGAAAGGCAATTTCACGTACACAGAGTGAAAAACCGGGTCTATAGCCATTGCCCACTGGAAGAAAATTGCCTTTTTACAAAACCGGCCCATACCTCCCTGGTCTCCCCTACGTATCACCAGTATAACGCCTTTTTGTTTTGGGGCGACTAACGGAGCGAGCGAGAGGGTGGGCCTTGCACGTGCGAAATTGCGAGAGGGTACCTCCAACTGACTTGTGCACGGCACCCTACTAACCGGTCTCTAGCGATGTGCCAAATTTGAGCACAATCGGCTCAGCCGTTCTCGAGATCTGGAAGCGGCACCCTGCACGTGCGCACGTACAAAACGGGTCCCAACTGACTTGTGCACGGCACCCTTCTAACTGCTCCGTAACCGTGTGCCAAATTTGAGCGCAATCGGTCCAGCCGTTCTCGAGATCTGGAATCGACCCCTGCACGTGCGCACGTGCAGCAGCACCCCAACTCTGGCACATGGATATGCATTGCCTAGTGGGTGCCTACCTACATGCCAACTTTCAGCGCAATCGGCCCAGTAGTTACCGAGATATTGCAACTATTACAAAAGTGACACCTCTTCGTTTTGCACGTGGCACGTGCATAAGGGGTCACCCACATGCATCGGGAATAGTCCAATACTTGGTAGAAGGAATGAAGCTACCCTACAAAAATTACCGCATGTAAATCGGTCAAGTGGTTGCTGAGATATAAGCGTCGCAGAATCGTGACCACGGCCGGCCGGCCGGCCGGCCGCTCATACTCAGAAATTTCCGTTATTCTACGTAAGACTCCGCTCGCTTCGCTCGCTCCGTAATAAAAATATCCATGAACACGTATTGAAGCAAGTTATCAGTGCGAAGCATCGACTAATATAATTTTACAATAAATAGTTTATAATACAACGTAGATCCATAAACAATGCGCACACTCAAGACGCTCAGCCTGGCAAACAAAATTAAAGAATTCGACATTTGCATAAAACATTGACTCTTGACATAACTAACATTTAAAGCTAATCGACCGCAGCATATGCTCAGCTGTAACGGTAGGAAACACGTGTGATGACGTCACATAAAAAGTAACAATAAGGCTACGGAGCGACTAGACGTTCAAATGTTGTCACTCACGAGCGTTTATAAAACGCCACTTATCTACAAGATCACATACGGATTGAATTACAAATATTCACACAGCAAGTTTCGGCACACGAAGTCCCATTCTATAACCACCATTGGAACCAGTGACGTCATGACTGACGTCATCATCAGGAACTGCCGTCAGTAGGGGAGCCCGAGGTCCTAAATGACCACCCCTAGCCGGCTCAGAAGCGCCGGACTTGATTCTAATGACATCATCAAAGTTAGCCAGGATCGGAACACGAAGTCTCGGATTAGCATCGTAATTCTTGCCTGAGGCGTCTTTCGTTTGTTGTTTTATGGCCAGCTGCGGTACCCGCACTCCAAGGCGATTGAAGGGCGGGGTGGTCCCTTTAGCTGTGGTCCGATCAACTGCGCTGTTTGCCGTGCGCAGAGGTGGCGCACGACCGTAAATGCCCCGAGGCGCCGCCGAGGTCACAGCCGAGGTCAGGGCCACAGCCATCGTGTAGACCAGAAGCGACTGCTGCATCATGCCGAGTAGTAGAAGAAAGCCTGAAAAGAGGGAAAAATGTATCAGTCATCAAACGAAAAGTTCCCTTTGGCATGCATTTAAAACGCAATACACATTACGCATGCTAAGCTACCTCGAAATTTCACTCGCCTTACGAATAAAAAGCTTAGTTCGTGAATTGCGTAAAACGGCTCTGGAAGGGGCAAAATCAAGTATCTGTATCTAATTACGTTTAGGTACACATTGTGATAAATTCTAGTCAGGTCAGGTTACTAAGGTCATTTTCGAATCCAGGCATAGCAGCTTTCACCATCTGCGCTAACTTCTCGGCCGAAACTATTTGACGATTCGCTTTCCCTTTGTGGAAGGCAAACGTGGGTCCCCTTACCGACCCACACTTCCAAGCTCAAGAACACTTTACAACTCGGGTAGATAATCAGTGATGCCCCCTTACGCTATGTCTCCACTAACCTGTGTAGACGTTGACTTATCACGGAGAGGATGTGTCAAATCTCTCCACTGCTTCCAATAGGGAGACCGAAGACCTTATTGGGAACTAGTGGCACACACGTTTAACTCTCCAAACCGACCAGCCGCGGTAGACTCTATCACTGACGATGCCAGTGCTCGATAAAACTGTGCTGTCTCCCCAGCCGACTATGTTGAGCGGACGGTATGCAAATCTTAAGTGACTGAGGGTCGCACAGGACTGTTTATATATTTGTGAAGCGTCTTCGCAGTGCCTTGGTCGGTAATTCCACCATGGAGAGTACGGTGGCGCATGTTTACAGTTTACTTACACGTCTCGTCCATCGGAAAGCACAAGATACGCGTGCGCAACGATCAAATAAACATTGACGAGGGTAACGGATTTCACTCAGTGGATTTTACGCTCACTTGCGTAATGATCGGACCACTTCGCTTCTTACAAAATGATCTACCCCATGCGTAGAAATTAGGCCGATATCCTTCGGTGATTTTTTTATTTAATGAGGGTGTGCCTCAAACATTTGGATTTGTCTGCATAATTTGCCCCGTTGATTTGTAAGTTGACTTGCGGTATCAAACAGGCTAAAACTTCAACATTTTAATGGCACCAGTAATGTTTTTATATACACCACTAATCCGTCCTATCCACGCACCACACTTCATCCGGGAAAGTCGTACCAACGAGCGTATACATTTATTGTTTATAAAACACATACAATCTGGTAACTGCACAGCACTATAACGCAACATTTAGAGGGCAACATAACAGCAGAACAATACATAGGGCCGACTTATGCCCGGCAATATCATGTGAGCTCCCCGCTCTATAAAAGGTGAATCTGGGCTCAATGGAATGTCTCTCCGTCCATCCTCTGTAGACGTGAAGGAGAGGGTGAACCTGCCTCTGAACTAGCCGTCCGTCTTCAGCATCACCGCCTGTCTTTCATCAGCAGCGATTTTCGGACCTGAAAAATCACACGGGACATTGTTAGTCACGCTGAAAGTACGTTAGACCATAGTCTACAGCGCTGAAGATTCCATAAATACGAAAACACAGCTTCTGACTATAAAATACATTACTCATTTGACGCCTTTGCGATATAACGTTTTGCGACTTAGAATTCGTACAGATTGAAACAAATGACTGGGTCAACTCAGCTCCTCTTCCCACCGACTCACAGTCAGGCCTGTCTGTGCCTGTAGTGATCCGGTACATACGAGCACAAGACCGGTACAGGCCAGTCACTGATTCCAGCTGACCTATCATCCGTGACCTCCTGTCCCAGCTTCTATCTGACCTCCTGAACATTACAGACAAGTGATCTCAACTACCGCACGTGAAAGTTTGACCCATGTCTGACCTGCAGGGCGGTACAGGTCAATACCGTGACCTCTAATTTATCCGTCGACCGTCAGTGAGCCCGTGACCCATCAGCCGCCGATCTGAGCTGGAGGTCGGCACATGGAGTCCTCTGACCCCCTTGTCAGAATCAGAGAACACGCGCATCCTCTGCCGTCCTCGACCCACCAAGCATGCTTTATCCTCCATTGATCACAATAGTTGATTCGCCCTGTATGACTCATTTCCGTCTTCAATGACCCCTGACCCGTATGTCCGACCTCCAGAAGGACACACGACAGTCCCCCGACCATCATTCCTGACCCCTCGCCGCCTCCGTTTGACCTGGAGGGCGTTGCAGGTCAATTCCCTGACCCGTGAGGCGACCCATCATCCCCGCCCCCTCGCCCCCTCCGTGTCACTGACCTGCAGGGCGTTGCAGGTCAGCCAGGATCGCGGCGTGCCCATCTCAGTGGCGTCCTCCCAGCGGTCGGTGGAAGGCGTGTAGCGCTCCACGCTCTTGTGGTACAGGTCCCAGCCCTCCTCGCCGCCTAGTACGTAGATGTGACCGTTCATCACGGCGGCTCCTGGCGGTGGGAGGGACGGGGGGGGGGGCGGCGTCAGATACCGGGGAGGAGGGGAGAGGGGTGACAAATGTATGAGAAAATACACAGGATAGACATAATGGACGGGGGGGGGGGTGGCGATGTCAGACATAGGGGTTGGAATCGAGCTCGATGGGTGGGGGCTTAGTAATGTGATGAGTGATGAAACTAGGTTAGACATTTTAGGCAGGAAAAAAAGACTGCCGAGGATACTTTTACACAGGAAGGTGACGGGACAAAGTTAAAAAATATGACACTGAGGGAGGAAACAATTACGACTACTTAGGCTGAGCAAGAAGCTAGTAGGTAATACATTTGACATAAACACTGATAGAGAAAGGTTCCTTTTTCGCACATACGCTATTCCACAGCCAAATATATGCTGTGCCCTGGCGCCTTTAGTGGGTGTTAACTTTTTATTTACTTTTTGCACAATAGCTAAGCGACGATGTTGGACGAAGCTTTGCGAGATACAGACAGACCACGTACCGGGCTGGTAGCGACACGCCCTCATTGGCGAGCACGGGTTCCACTGGTTCTTGTGTATGTCGTAGCACTCCACCTTGTTGGTGTTCTCCGTAGCGCCGTGCCACCCGCCTGGAACACAGAGGAACACGGGAGCACGGTCAGACGTTTTAGAGAACACTATATTTGATACACTGGCTGGCTAAGTATTCTTCACGAAGAAACATTTATGAGGATTTCATCTTGCTTATCAATCTCTAAAAGATGTGCAACCAAAATACAGTAAAACACATTTATCGGCAGGTCTAACGTTAGGTTAAGGCCAATGACGTATTTAGACCTGTCACACCAGATTAACACAAATGTCTTGTACTGTCACAATTTGGATGCATCATAGACCAGATGAAACATTCATTCTGATGAGACCAAAGGATTTCTTCATCGTCGCTTTCCTTCATCGCCGAAATAACCATCAATATTTGTATCATACATGAGCACCTCTTCAAGCACCAGTTCCCCCTCTAAACTTACCGATGATGTAGATTTTTCCGTCGAGCACACAGGCGGCGGATCCGCTGCGGGGAATGAGCATGGGCGCCAGCTCTGCCCAGGTGTGTGTGCGCGGGTCGAACCGCTGGACACAGGTGATGCCGTCCCCATCCTCACCGATCGCGCCGCCTGATAGGGCGAGAGGGGGGTGTGAGGGGTATGGGATAGAGAAATATAAACGGATAAACGATGAGAAGAAAAGTCAAGATAGGAGATGTAAGTTACTAAGGAAAATACACATAAAAGGAGGCAGGAAGTGGGAAAAATTGTAAAGAAAGAGAGATTGGTCAGGATTAAGGGGCCAGGAGAGGGAGAGGGAGCAAGAAAGCGGAAAAGAGAAATGGATAAAAAAATGCCACCATACAGTATGACTACACCACATATAGAAATCCGGCACCCATCAGTGAGTCCTTGACGGGCTGATTCAACGGTAATTCAGCCTCACCTGCTACGTAGAAGAAGCCGTCGTGGGCTGCCACGGCGGCAGACGTGATCCCGACCTTCAGCGGCGGCAGCTGCTCCCACGAGTTGGTCTCCGTGTTGTACCTGATGGCGGAGAGAATGTGTTGATAATATTGATCAGTCGAAATAAAGCACAGCACATGATTGGTTGGCCACTTGGAATTACCCGTTCTAATGGTTTAGAAGCTGCAGGTCTATAAAAGAGAACATTCCACTTTTTATAAGCTCCACAACTTACAATACATTTTATTGTAAAACACACAACTGCCGTCCAAAGCCAAAACACCGCATCCCAGGTTTTTCAAATTTTACAGGAGAACGATTTTAAGCTTTCTTACTTTGAGGTGTGATTTCTATGTGAAGGAATCAACATTCCGTGATAGGAAAAAGACCATTAGAATTGTCTGATCTTGCAGAATTGATACATTTATTCAAATTTCATAGTAATCATTATCATTTTACTTAGCATTCGATATGGTGTTTTGGCTTGGTTTGTATGTAAATTTCGTGCCTTTTCGCGAAGCAAAAACACCGTATCGCGTTTTATGCCCCAATACGGTGTTTTGGCTTGGATGACCTCCAAGTTACGGTAAAGTTGAAGCATACAGTTTACATGATGGAATGATCCATCGACAATTGCCAGCATTCGGAATCATCGATGCTGCATCATGTGTAGGAAATAGGCGGGTCTATATGGAGTTGGCGACAAAATTCACGAATAATTAGGGGAATGTTCTAGGGTCAAAAGCATTTCAGCAATACCTGCCAGACTATCACGTGGGCAAAGTAAATAAGATCGAAGCTACTTTGAATGCAGCAAACAGACGGCCCACCTCACTTTAGGCAAGGAAGCCAGTGGCGAATATCGAAGAGAGGCCGATCGTGATTGGGCTGACGACGGAGTGACGGTGACGGTGTCATTATGATGAAAGAGGTGATGATACATACGATTAGGTCTGGTCATGCTCCTTCGTCCCTGGCTTACGTGTCTTCAACTGAACAGCGTGGCAATGCCCGAGAACACCCGCAGCGTCAGAAAGGACTGTTATCATGTGGTGTCCGTTTGCATCGTCTGGGACGACGGGTGTAGCCGGACGTGGAACTGGTGGAGATATCTGGACGTGGCTGCATCACTTTTTTGCTTGAAACTTGGGACTTTCACCCAGTCTACAAAGGGGAGAGCGGAATGTGTTTGATGACGGAGAGTCGGAGACTGAAGACAAGCCGAGGGGGCGAACGTTTGATGCGTACATCGGGCTTTTCTACAAATTGGCTACAATAAGAAGACGGTGCTAAAAATAGTTAAATGAAGCAACGGAAGTTTTGCCATCTTCTAGTTATAGGACAGTCTTGAGTTCCACGCATATTCAAGCGTTCACTGGCCGCTTTCACAGGTACCGAAACCAACTGATTTCTGATTCGGTTTTGAGTTAACTTACCTGGCACGGCTAAGACATCGGCATTCATGCCGGTGTTTTCAGGTTAGATCGACTTTAGCGTCAGTCTGGATTGTGAGGTGGTTCGATTGCACACTGAACACTGAACAGCATCCATCAGCGGCCACTTTTGGACTGTGTGAAAGACCCAAGTTGCAAGCAAAAAGTAAATACCAGATACCTCCACCAGTTCAACGTCCGGCTACACCTCCCACTCCCAGACGATGCAAACGGACACCACATGATAACAGTCCTTTCTGACGCTGCGGGTGTTCTCGGGCATTGCCACGCTGTTCAGTTGAAGACACGTAAGCCAGGGACGAAGGAGCATGGCCAGACCTAATCGTATGTATCATCACCTCTTTCATCATAATGACACCGTCACCGTCACCCCGTCGTCAGCCCAATCACGATCGGCCTCTCTTCGATATTCGCCACTGGCTTCCTTGCCTGAAGTGAGGTGGACCGCCTGTTTGCTGCATTCAGAGCAGCCTCGATCTGAGCCACTTCGCCCACGTGATAGTGTGGCAGGTTAATTGCTCTAACGGCTTACATCTTTAAATATTATTCCTCTAAAAATTGTGTCGTTATTATTCTCGCCGTCAATTTTGTCATGAATTTCATATTGGGTAGCTTATTTCCGAAACACGTTGAATCATTCGTGCCAAAAGAGTGTATCTCAAGGTGATGGGGATTTACCGACACCAACCTATGCCAAAATACCGCATATCAGTCAATACGGTGTTTTTGTCACTGGTTTTGTCGGAAATCTCGTTCGAAATCAAAGCCAGAAGACCGCATCGCACGTGAAACGGTGGCATGAAGTGGCATAGGTTCAGCGTCCGCCAAGGCCAAAAGACCACATCGCTGTGATACGGTGTTTTGGCATGAGTTGACGACTTGAAACAACTGATGAATTTCACAATCACACTCCATACGGCATTTTGGTGGCACCAAGTAGCTAAATCATGGTTTATCCACAAAAGCCATAATACCTTATCGAATATAATAAAAAATATATTTTTGATACAAAACTATAAATGGTACAGCTAAACGCAGCGTCAAAAATAGATTGTCCTGGTATCAAAAACCATATTTCGGAAAAATGGCCCATACGGTGTTTTGGCTTTGGACGGCAGACAACTAGGCACTTCGTGAAGTTCCACAACATCTATGTCCCCCGAATCGTATATCACCTTTCGACGGAGTCAAGCCGTGCTGATCCGTCCCAGCCGCCTGCCGCGTACAGGAAACCGTCCAACACGGCTAGACCTGCCAGGCACCGGACATATATCAACATCATAATCCATTTCATGCATTCAGTACCGGAACTCATCCAAAAGAGATGTGGGATGGCACAAAGAAAATCATTTTTTACCTATCCAATATTAACAAAATGCGGCCAACATCGCCAGATCCGTCTTTGCAAAACTGATGTAAGGAACACGGTAAATCATTAACATCAATATTTTTATTTCTAATGATGAGTACCCATTAAAAAATGGCATGCAGGTGCAAATGTTCAAAATCAGACCGCGTACATTCGTTGCCACTGACTTCTATTCGATTACTCAGAAGACAAGTGGTGATTTTTTCGTGCTAATACCACCCACCTAGTTCTGATCGGGCGAACGCCATGCTGGCCATTTCCTCCCACTTGTTGAGCTGCGGGTCGAACCGCAGCAGCCGGTTACTGGCGTTACCGTCTGGAAACTCGCCGCCGGCGAAATAGAGCACGTTCTTACCCGTCACCACGGCGCCGTGCTTACTGTAAGAAACGGACGGGGAGGGGGAGTTGAGCTTACTGTAAGAAATGGAAGGGAATGGGGAGGGAGTCAGAGGATCTTACCAGTCCTTCGCCGAGCTTATTGTAAGACACCGCGGTAGGTAGACGAGAAATGAGATTAAGAAAAATCACAGAATCGGATAATCAGGGACTTATCATTCAGGGAGTCCGTAACCACCGCGATACCTAAGATGATAAACGGTGACGTGAGGGGCGGGGTTCGATCAACGATCCAGATGACTTTTGCTCGATTTAATTTTAATCTGGTTTTGGCCGAACCACTGAAACAAAGTGCACAGAGCCGATTCCATGCGATGAACGAGACGCGTAATGTCACGTTCGTTACGTTTACTGACAGACTAACAACCCTGACTGCGAACGGTACCTAGGTTTCCAAGCGAGGCCCACCGTCCGTTTGTCATGTAAAATCTCGCCAATGTCCACACAAAACTTGGTGAGGTCAGGACGTTCGGCCGGGTCAGGACAGATGGTTGGAACTCCCACTGACCTGACAGCGAACGGCAGGTTACCCAGTGAGGCCCACTGTCCGTCAGCCGGGTTGAATCCCTCCATGCAGCGGAGAACCACACGGTCATCCTCGCCTCCCGCGCACACAATCACCTGAGGGATGGGTACGAGCAAAGTCGGATATTGTGACAAATAAAAACACACTATCACCTACTATGGACGTCAAACCGCTTGAGACCCCACTTTTTTGCGATTATTTTAAAATGCGTCAACTCTCGTTGACAATATTCTGGCAATGTGTGTTTCAGAACCTGCCGAAACTTTTATTACTAAGGTATTTTGACGCCGAACGAGTATGAAAGGTACTTCTCATTCACTCGTAATGTTAAATTTCACGGAACGAATCTGCTGTTTGGGTAGAGGCTACGCGCTCATGGGGCGGAGCCACGTAATGACGTCAGCGCTAAGCTCCGCCCTACCCCTCCGGCGCTCCTTGCCCGGCGACCGGTCACTCGCGTCCCTCGCTCCATTCAGGCTTGATGGTGGTCGGTAGCTGGTAGCGGTAGCGGGCGCTGGTAGATGGCATTTAGAGCAGATGGCGCTGGTGGCGGGGCTCGAGTGTGGCCGAGCGCAAGCCTCTGCCCGGGCCTGAATTGACCTTAGCATTACGAGTGAATGAGAAGTACCTTCCATAATCGTTTGGCGTCAAAATACCTTAGTAATAAAAGTTTCGGCAGGTTCTGAAACATACATTGCCAGAATATTGTCAACGAATGTTGACGCATTTAAAAATTATCGCAAAAAAGTGGGGTCTCAAGCGGTTTGACGTTCATAGTAGAGATTGACACAGGACGTATAGGCGGGTATTGCGAGTAGAAGCAGGCAGTAAATGGGGATAGATCGGGTTTAAGATGCAAAGTTAGGCAATGAAACAGTCAGAAATAGCAACAAATTTGAGCACATAATGGATTGACGTGAATAAAGTCAGGCTTGACCATCACTAATCTAGGCTTCATCGATGAAAATTAATGCATATGCAAAACTGGGACACAATCAGTGTAATCTAGCCTGCTTAACGAAACCATTTCACTAACTCAACTCTACTCCACCTGCACAACAGACCCCTATAACTCACATCCACGAGTTCGGCGTTTTTCCGGGGCCGTGTCCTGGCCCCCTGCATGTCTCCCCGACGGTCCGGCAGTAAGTGATATAGCCTGAGAACAGAGACAGAAAACGTGCACAGAGGTCATGTCAATGTGAAGTGATATATTCTTATTAATTCGTCTACGAAGACGGTATTGAAAAGGTAAGATCATGGTGATGATGGAGTTGATGATTACGATCATGATACTTTGGTTTTATAATTCAAATTTTACAGGAATCAAGAAGCACGTGAAGATCAGTAACAAGCCGCATGGGCGTGCTGCGGCGCGGCCTGCAGACTCCGGAACGACTTCAAAGTCGCACACGTCCGCATTACACAGATAAAAATACACATTCCAGCCGTTGACAGCCACAGACGTACCTGGCCTCCTCGAGCAGTGTCTGACACTCTGGCGACGTTCGTACCACCTTCTGTTTGGAGACGCAGTCGTGAAGGAAGTACGGCGACAACAGCGGTAGGCGGACGTTCTCCAGAACCTGGCCAACACACAGAATGTACAACACATGCTACTGAGAGCCGAGGTAAACATGTAAGCTAGTGGAAAAGCTAAGGAAAAGACACAATATAATAATAGGTACTTAACCTAATTGGCAGAAACTTAAAGCGCATTTCGGTAGCTGGTTGGTATTAATATCATTAATCTAGGACATGTGTAACCTTTCTCACTCGACAAAGGCTGCAATGAGGACAAATTGAAATCATCAAGAGCAATGGTTTTAACCCTCATACATTCTGTATTTCTTTTAGAGCAAACTGTTCTCAATCGCGTTCAAATTCTTCCCATTCAATTTATCTAATTTTTCCACACCTTATCCCACGCCCGTGAACCAGCGTCACCTAGCTTCTCACAACTCCTCTCTCGACCGCGGGCCCACCTTATAAAATCCCTCCTTCCTCGCGTCCGGCTGATGGTTGAACCAGTTTAAAACGGCCGTAAATACGTCCTCCTCTCGCGCCACCTGCAGCTCGTCGGAGGAGACGAATTCGACCACCTTGGGCAGCGACAGGTTCAGAAACTCCTCGTGAGACGAGACGTCCGGGAAATTGCTGAAAGCGGGGGGGGGGCAGGACTGTGTGATACACCGGGGCTGATGTGGAAGCTAGCTGGCTGTGCAGCTGTGATAGCCTCTACACAGGGCCACTGACAAGCCACAGTCAAATCTTGATGATAAGTTGAAGTCAGTTGAGTGCAGGGTTGTGCTTGACTCATGAGTCGAGTCAGAAATTTGACTCAACTCTGATTCAAATGAGTCAGATTTGAGTCGAGTCGGATAAAATATTGAGCTGTTGAGTTGAGTCAGAGTTGAGTCGGACAAAAATATTAAGGCGTTGAGTTGAGTCAGAGTTGAGTCAGTAAAATAGCTTTTGACATTGAGTTGAGTCAAACATTTAGGAACATGAGTCAGCTGACTCAACTTTACATAAACACAAACAATATATATATATATATATATATATATATATATATATATATATATATATATATATATATATATATATATATATATATATATATATATATATATAAAAGCTTTTCATTCCCCCTCCCCCCCCCCCTACTTAACAACTTAGCCCTGGCCCTGCTGCCGGATTTTATTCACCCCTCCCCCCGCTCAACAACTTTTTTATCTGAGTCAATTTTGAGTCAACTCACTTGACTCAACATAAAATTTGAGTCAAGTTTGAGTCGACTCATATTTTCATTGAACCGCTTGAGTCATGAGTCAAGTCAAAGGAAAAAATCAGCTCCTTGTTTGAGTCAGAGTTGAGTCAGGGCTTTCTGAAGTTGAATGATGAGTCGAGTCGGCAAATTTTTTTGAGTCGAGCACAACCCTGGTTGAGTGGGACAGGCCGTGTCCGGCTTTGAAGGGCACGTTAAACTTTGGCATCTAAATTCTCCCGTTGCCCGGAATTGCGCGATCGGACGGTAGGGGTCGGGGTCTACGCAACAAGCTCTGCTTAAGGCCGCCCCACACTGAAACTCGCATGCGGGTTGCGGGTTTTTGAATTTTCGGGTTTCTTCAAAATTTAATTATACAATATATGCTGAGTGACCCACACTACCATCTGCCAAGTGAGTCTGCATGTTTTTAGCTTGCGAGCTACCTTGCATCGCATTCCAAAAGTTGGTTTTGAGTCAACTTTCGATTTTCCTCGCTGCGAGGTCTGCGAGTTCTGCGAGGTTTGCGGGTTTTTCGTTGGAGTCGAATTTTGGTTCGTTGCGCTGGTAGTGCGACTATATGTAAGTTTCTGAAGGTGTACCGGCTTCACTGCATTCATAAAGTTACCATAAGGGAACGGTCTAATCACTCTATGAATTAATATTATGCCCGCAAACTGAAAACCCGCAAACCCGCAACCCGCATGCGAGGTCCAGTGTGGGGCGGCCTTTAGCGTGGGCTCCGGCTCTGTCAATCCGTCCATTCAAACATTCGAGCTAAATTTATAAAAAAGGACCTCAAATACGTCAACATATCAATTCGAGCTTCCAAAGTCAAGCTACAAACTGCTTAGCGTAGCTCACCCAAACCGGGGCATTACCGTTGCAATAAATTGTCGTCATAATAAAGCGATGAGCACTATGGGCTGAAAGACAACCCTCTATGGTGTTGGAGATCCTCTGAAAAAAACACGTTTTAAACGGCTCGATTAACCTAAGCTACGATATAATTCACGTGGTACAAGACTGTTCTGTAGGGAAACGTCGTTCCCTCTCGAACTGTTACGTCCTTCTCCACTCGGTTCATCCGCCCACCTGAGCGCAAACTCCTTGGCGAGTCTCTGCAGTCGCTCGCAGTTCATCGTCTCGGCGAAACAGTGGATTCCCAAACAGTTGGACGCATCCATGTGTTTTTCCATAAACAGCGAGCACGCGTCGCGAACAGACAGCACCTGGCGGACGAAAATGGAAGCTAAGTTACCGGACACGGCCGTTAGGTGACACTAGTTTGACCCGATCTGTATAATCGTCTAACCGACCACAATGCTTGTTTACGGATATCCCCGTAGATAAAATACATCATCGACAGTGAAGCAAAGTGAACAGCGAAGATCAGATAAGCAGGGAACTTCTCAAGACTATCATTTTCCTCGACTGACGATCATATTTGCTACTAGCATGCGGACCACTTATCCCCGTACCTCTGACCCCTCACCCCAGGACGCGCCCTCTGACCCCGGGTGACTGTGACCATCATCCCTGACCTGCAGCAGGTTGGAGGCGGCCATCAGGTTCTGCACGTTGCCCTGCGTGATGCTGACGGAGCCAGTGTAGGCGAACTGCAGCAGCGTCTCCAGCATGATCGGTTCGATGTCCTTCAGCGTCACCTCCCGGTCGTGACACTCCTTCAGCTGGCTGGTGAACATCGCCTGGGGGCACACGGGTCAGCGAGGCTAGAGCGGCGGAATTTCAGGCACGGTAGAGTTCCGAATTCAGGTTTCGAAGTGTGCTCAAATTTCTAACAGTCCACAATGGACGAATTTCAAGCATGACAAAAAAAAAAATTAATTCCGTACGATCGTGAAACTGGGTAGACAATGAAGTTCTAATAGCAATAAGGTACGATATTGTGGAAAATTTTATAGGCCGACAGAGCGGAAAATATTCATTTACGATACATACAGTTCGGGGCGAATACCTTGCGTACCTCAAGAGACAACTCCTACCCAGACTAGCCTATGCAGATACGTTCCAAGCGCGATTAGAATATGTATACAGACTTTCGTTCGATCACCTAGAATGACGACTCTCGACACTGATATCCGTTTACAAGACAAGGTGCTATGTTCATCGTGCAGTGGGTGTTTTCAGACAGATCGGTCGAGCCCAAAGAGCAAAGTTCCAAACGTGGGAGAGTGACAAGTGGCGACGTTGACACCGTAAAAGTGCGAAGTTAGGACAATATCGATGTGGAGGTTGAGAGTCGACAGTCGCCGAACGCTTTCATTCCGGAGAAATAAAAGAGCAAATGCATCTTCCAGTGCACCAACAGTCTGTGGTGTAAAAGAACCTAAAGTGACGTTTGCTACGATGCGAACATTTATTCCCCTCCCTTCACCACAAATATCTATTTCCACCAATTAAACGAGATTTCAGAGTAAAATGATGCCACGGAAAAGGGAGACGAGATAATGTAGAAGCTCATATTCACTCACCTTGAAGTAGGGACTGAAGGCGGCGAGCACACACTTGTGCGCCGGAAACGTCTGCTCCCCGACACGGATGATGACGTCACAGAAGACGGCGTCATCGCGCAGCTCATTGAGCCCCTCCAGCACCTACCGTACGATATATGACGTCATACAGTGGCACAGAGGGTTCAACGGTCTTGACTGAGCCTGTGAGCCAACATGTGCCCAAATAAGCATTCGTTTCCAAATACATCTTGCATTTGCATTCTAGTGCATTCCAATTTTGATTATTTAATACATCGCAATATATGCCAACCACTGAGTTTTTATTCTTTTTGCATGATCTAACGGAAAAAAATCACGCGCCATTATGTTCAGCAAATCGAAGGATACGTACCGCATCAGTTGTATTATACAAATGAATCAAACACTAGCAATCATCCTATCTATACCAATACGACATGGCTCAGCATACACAAGTAACAAAAAAGTCGAATGACAACCTCCTGTGGCCTGTAAACTAGTGAACAGAAGTCTACAACGGAAAGAGACCTTCCAGATCAGTTGTCGCCACATCTCACAAGTAACGCGCTGATCTCCTTTCATTCCCATCAATCTCGCTCACACACACACAAGTGCATCTCACGCTGCCCAAGGCCCCAACACAACCGTGCTGACTGCCAAGCTCGTCGTTCAGAGCCAACAAGTTCAGTGTGTCTAAATACACGCCCATATTTCCTACACTGCCGACGCCGCTTGGGTACGAACGCACCGAACGACTCGGGGTATATTTTACCAATACTGACAAGGCCTGACCGACGGATAGATAGATAGACATATATGTACAAAAAAAGAGTGTAAAAGAGTGTGTAGATAAACAGAGAGACAAACCAGTATCAGAAAGACAGGAGGACCTGACGGACGGACAGACGGACGCACAGAATAACAGACTGCTGACGCGGGTAACACCGGGTCAAAGTTCGCCAACATCGTCAGGAGGCCGGACACAGACCCTCCCTAAACAGAGCCCATTCTCACTGCGACTCGAAATGCAAGCTGGGGAGGGGGAGCGAGGGGGAATAAACCTACAACCATCGTCCATATCAGCATAAAAAACTCAGTAAGCAACGAGATTTGCGCTAGTTAAGCCAACTCTGCCGCAAAAGACGAGAATGGTCTCGTGAATTTTTAAAAGGCCGAAAAACAAATTCGGTTAACTGCTAGCTAAGTTGAATTGATAACACAGAAAGACTGATAAAAATGAGTAGGTAGATATGTTAAAAGTATAAAACCATTCTTTATATGTTTGGCCAAATTTTAACCCTAGCCCGTATAGGGAGGGGGGGGGGTCCAACGGACCCAATCGGTATTCCGCGAATAACTCGCGTAAAAAGCGGCCGATCGCGACGAAACTTTCAGTACCCTCGAGTTGGTCAATTTTACACCTACCCTGAAAATGTCATGATCCTGACCCAAATGACCTTTGACCTGTGACATATTTCTTAAGGTCATGTTTGGCCGGAATCGCGATTCTGCGTATGTCGCCTCGCATTAGCCGTGCGTTTGCAGTCTTTTCGTGGTTTCGAGCATTTAAACATGTGATATGATGTTCCCATGCATTAGGGTGAGTGTCAAGGTCACCTGAAAGTCAGGTCAGGTCATTGACCTTTGATGACCTCGGTTCACTTTTTCGAGTTTTACATGTTTCTAGGCTAGTTTTTTAGCTGAATTCGAATTTAGAAAATATTTGAACATTTAAAGGGACCCTCCCACCTTCAAAAAAGTTAATGAATTGGCATGAAAGTGATGTCGCTCGGTTCAGAAAGAGCAAAAACGAATATCTACCAAATTTCATCGAAAAATATTCACCGGTTTTCAAGATATTAGACTTTTACTTTTGTTTACTTTTTGGGATCTCCGCTGTTCCTAGCGACTTTATTTGAAAGTGCGGCATTTGTTGCGCGCAAAGCAGCATATACCACCGCGTGCTACAAAACGTTTTAGTCAAACATTTAACGGACGTTCGAAAGCCTGATGACGTCATCAGATTCCCGTAATGGTTAAGAGATAGGGACCACGCTGGTCCCACCCTGCAAGTAAAGGGAAGAAATTTCTTGAACACCATAAAGCTGCGGGGGTTGCGACCAGGATAAATGGTGGTTTCTGAGCCTGGCCGCAAACTTGGCTATCTCAACTCAAAACTAATGTTAAGGTGGGAGGGTCCCTTTAAGAAGTAGCTTTGGTGCCTTCGTAACATGTTACGAAGCTGCCAGAGGCGGTTGACACGTACCTACTATGAATACCCGTCATGACCCCTACTGGTTGACCTGACCTGACCTGACCCGACCTGGTCTAAATGCCTAAAGACATCATCTGTGATCAAAACTAACACGATATTCGTGATCAGCACACCGGAAAAACCTTAGCAGCCACACTTTACGACTTTCTAACAGGTCCCGATTTTCCCGACTTTTGGGTCATTGACCTGACCTAGAAGGTCAACCAATGACTTAGGACCTTAAAATTGGGTATCATCGGCTTCCTCTCGTCACAGGCAGCACGCTCTCTTTTTCCCGCGAAGCTCTAACTCGATCAGGGGCGAAATTGCAAGAAGGGGTTCAACGGACCCCCCCCCCCCCTTATACGTTCGATGCTGGTTCCAATATTCCAGGGTTCCAGGGGGAGGGGGAGGTACTCGTCACATACCTAAATGATAAAGCGGCAAGATGTCAGAAAACTATGCCTGTAGAGAAAGAGTGCGCCCCACACAAAGAAAACAATCATCGATTTTATACAACCTTTGACTAAATCCCTCTCAGAAGCCAATGCCATACCTCAGTCCCTCACCAATGAAAACTATACACACAAGGTTGGGCTGTCTCCCACCATTTTCCCTATTCCCAGAACAGTTCTCAACGTGATACCAACTCACCGCCTTTGGATGTCCAATGTTGTTGTAGTTGTACTCATCGGCAGCAGCTAGATCGTGTTCCAAATCCTCCAGGGATCCTTCTGAGAGACACAGCGTAGACGAGACGCTGGCACGGCGCGGCAGCGTGTTGGACATCCAGGTGATTGGCCGGAATGGCTGGAGGAAGCTCCCACTCCAATCGTCCCACTGGGGCAGGGGTGCGGCGGCAGCAGCGCCCGCGGCACGAGCTGCATATGCGCCGCCCTGTGCGTGCCGCCTCTGCCGCACTGAACGGCCCGGGCTGGGCAGCATCTCAACAACTGTGGGCCAACAGAAGTCACATGAAGACAGGCAGTTGTGATGGACTCAAATTCCAAGTGACCAAATCTAGTAACAAAATTCAAACAAACGATTTTTTTTTCAATAAACAAAAACCAATTTGCTTTAGTATTTTTTACATTAATGATTAGCTGTGATGTTTGAGTTTTGACATTCCTGAAGTAATGACAAGGTTACATCCAAAACATAATTCAAATTAGTTTTGAAGGGTAGGTAGAGGTAGTTGTAAAGCAGGCGTCACACTTGTCTTTTTCCAACCAAGGAGAGGCGCTATACCCAAAGATGCTTTCTAATCAAACCAAACCAAACCAAAGGGCTGTTTGGCTGCACAGCCAAAATGAAATATACAGTATGCTGCAGCATGCATGCGCAGTGAGGGCTACATCACTCGTTAGTCCCGTCCACACCACTGCGTCATCACCTGTGTGACGTCACCTACTGAAGCATACTTCTCTTTCCTGCAGCCGGAAATTTGGTGCTGCAGGAGACGAAAGTGACGCGGATTAAAGTTTACTGTCCAATACTTCTTATTGTAAGCTGTTTGTATGCTGTTTTTTGGTATCATTATCACTCTTTTCAGTGGTACACTCGGGGGCAGATTGATGTTCCACCACTCCCTACCCATTGGGCTCCCATGGCTCAGCACTGGCTGCTGCCAGTGGCAGCACTGGCAGCACTGGCACTGGCAGGCAGTGCTGAGCAGTGCTGAGGGCAGGCAACACTGGCAGCAGCCAGGGCTAAGCCATGGGGGCCCGATGGGTAGGGAGTGGTGGAACATCAATCTGTCCCCGAGTGTACATTGCTGTTACCCACAATTCAATGCATTTAAACTGTTATTTTAACGACACAGCAGCGCTCGGCCTCTGCGTGCCGGTGGAGAGTGGGCGGTGCCAGACGGTGGATATCACCCAAGTATGATGCACGCAGCACAGATCTAGGTATACTGCTAGCTGCAGGGACCCGAAAAGCCCTCAAACCTAACCAAACCTTACCTACAACCTATAACCTAAAACCTATCACCTACAACTTAACCTACAGCATCTCTCCTAGTTCTTGGATGGAAAAAACAACTGTAATGACTAACGCCTGCTTTTAGGTACTACTTACTTACAACATGAAGTAGGAACCTATCTGATAAACAGTAGGTACGTACCTAGAACTACCTTGATTAGCTCTTCTCACCACCCAAAGGGCAAAGACCTGAATTATGCAAAATCAAACCAAGCGAATGAAATCTCGTAAATATCGCGGCAAAAATATCGCAGTTTCCCAATTCAACACATAACTCTCCTAACCGCTCCTGACTCTCCTCACTCCCAGTCCTCCCCGTCCTCCCAGTAGCCTTGCTCAAGGCTATGCCTTCCTCTCAGCATAAATAATGACGAATAGCGCACTTGAGACATTCACACATAGAAGTTACACAGATATTTTGCATACTTGGTTCCATGACGTATTTGTTGTATTTTACACTTCCACTGAATTTCACAATAGTTATCTATGATAGTTTTTATTCAATCGGAGCAGATGAACTCAAATACCAGGCAATTTTTTGGTGTTCATTTCATAAAAGCATAGTATCTATGCATACAAAGCTTTAAAACTCGTGTTTGCGTTCGTTGCCACCATAGTTACAACCAACAAAAGATAGCTTGTTTTTAATTTTTGCAAGCTCTGATAAATAAATAAAAGTGATATTGATCATCCATCAAAGATTCCCTTATATACCTAATAGGCAATGAATGCAGATATTGATACATTTTAAGTTTAACCCGTTTAAATTAATAATCAGTTGTAATTCTCATGACGTCATTATATTTGAACTTCACAGGTGTCATGCTCCGTTTGACGGCAACCTTAGCCCTGTTCAAGTGTCTGCGGCCGCCGCGGCTCCCGCGGCCAAAAAGGCGGAGCTTAGCTGGCGGCCAATCAGGCGAGAGCAGCATTCTGGGTAATGCGTAGCTCTTCCTGCGGCTCCCGCGGTCGCTCGGGAGCGACCGCAGGGAAACTTCGACATAAACTGCGCGCGTGAGACAAAACATTGCGGATTTCGCTCTTTGTTTCGGTTGATTTGATACGTTGTTTAGGAATAATTGCTTCAAAAAGGTACTAATTGAAGTGATAAAGCCATTATATAGCCATCACACACAAAATTTTGATCAGCATCTCCTTTCAAAATAACTGTGCCATTCTCGTCGCCGGCCGCAGCGGCCGCAGCCGCGAGGGTGTTCAACCTAACCGAAATTAGGCTCCGCCTCCCGGCCGCGGGAGCCGCGGCGGCCGCAGAGCACTTGAACAGGGCCCTTATTTCGTAAGTCTTCTGCTGCGAGGTTGGGGAAAAGAGGGCGGATGAAAATCTATTTAGAATATAGGTAATGATGCATGTGTTTTGCGGTGAATTAAAACTTTCATGTGTAGAATGGTGTCACATTCAGTGTGTGTCAATTTTCCTCAATTGCAAATTAACTTAACGTACACCAGGGCACTGCATCTTCACTGCGTCTTTTAAAAATCATTTTCAACACTGACACCCCGTAAAGCTAAAGCTTAGGACATCTGCTGAATTTGGCTGTTGTCTGTTTCAGACTGTGATAATTTGGATTCAGGTAAAAAGAGGAGCAGAGCAGTAATGGAGGTGGCCAGGGAGAGTATAGACATGTTCCTCAACAGCCGGATGGTGGAGGCCGAGGACTTGTTCCGACACCACCAGGATAACAGACAAGTCCGCATGGCCCAGTGCTACTGCAGTGTCATGGTGAGGAGTGGGAATCGGTCACAATCTGGCTATGCAAGAATGCTACCTTGCTACGTAATTGTGGAATCGGACCATAGCGCAACACCTGTAATGTTACGACCACGGCCCTGTAATGCAACTAGCTCTGCTTGGCGTGGGCTCTTGCTTTGTCAATCCATCCATCCAAATATTTGAGCAAAATTTTATTAAAGTAACTGCTGCCAACCCTACCTCTCCCATTTTCCTATCAGAGTGCGGTGGTGACGTTCGAGTCTGCCCAGCTGGAACGGACGCTGCAGCTGCTGAAGGCCACGGAGAAGGCCATGACGCCCGACACTGGCCTGGTGAACCAGCTGCGGACAAAGCTGAAGGCGCCCGAACAGCTGGAGGTGAGCACCGAGCTTTGATCACTGACAATAACCAGTGATCAAAGCTAGGTTAGGTGAAGGCAGGGTAGGGTAGGGGCAGGTTGAGGTGGACAATGGACATTTATCAATGCTTTGGTACTGTAATTTGATATCGTAATACGATAATACCACAGGCACACATAATATATTGCTCATAAATTAAATTCATGTCCAGTATGAAAAGTGGTCATAGCGATGTCAAAAGCCGGGCGTAAGAACAACAGACTTTGTATCAAGATACCTATAAGAAACAGGTAGATCCGATGTTTGAAAGTAAAGCCCCAGTCACAAATTTGACGCACCTGTGACATTTCCTGACACCCACGTGACTATTGTATTAACTTTTGTGTTTTGCGATGTTTTGACCTTATTTAAAGTACTGAAAGCTCAAAATGTATGATTAATGTTGTTTAAAGCAGCATATTAATAATTATGTTTGTAAATTATCGATAAGCTGCTTATAGCAGGTCACGTGATTGCTACCAGATTATGTGCTCAGAAAGCATCTTTTCAACTTCGATTTTGAACAATTTTTACCTCCTTTGAGGCCAAATGATGGACGGTTTGAGGCACACGATGAAATGCTGAATCTGTTGATGCCAAAATTTGTTCGTTTTTTGCATTTTTAGACTAGTATATCCTGGCTCAAACTTTGACCAATTTGTGTGTAAACCCTATGGTGAAGGGAAAACTTCACGCCCAGCAGGCGTCATTACAGTGCTGCCAAATCGTGTTTGGTGGGGGTCGCTTTGTATGACCATTTCACTTTAAAAGTCACGTTTGGCCAAACATACCAACGGAAAGAGTCGTGCATACCTATCGCGTCGCGGACGGGCCCTGTCGTGTGTTGTGCCGTTTGTACTTTGTAGTCTGACTACGTTACCTATCGTGTCACGAACGTACCGTTCCCGACCATGTCGTGTGTTGTGCCGTTAGGAGTCGGAGTACGTTACTTATCGTGTCACGGGCTTACCGTTCCCGACCGTGTCGTGTGTTGTGCCGTCAGGAGTCTGAGGTGGTCGGACTGCTGGAGCGACAGATCGCCGTGGCCGACTGCCAGGTCTGCGCCGCCGTCATCAACTTCCTGCAGCAGGTGAGACGGAGAGACATCTTACGATCTCACCAGATTGAAAGACGATGAAGGAGGATATGTAAGACCACAGACGGAAACTCTGAGATCAGCAACATACTGATACTGTCGGATTTTGGAAACACCGTGAGTCCTAGACGACCTGACCCTTACCTACTCTGACCATACCTCTAACTCGACCAACTCTGAAGTCCAACCGACATGATTCCGACCTGAGCCCTCTACTCCTCCACTGGCCGTGGCAAGCTGTGACCTTTATGACCTGACCTGACCCGATCTGTCCCCGCTCCATCCCTCCACAGGACGTGGGCAGCTGTGTGCGAGGCAGCTGGGGCCTGCGCCGCGCCTGGAAAACCTACGACAGAATATACGGTCAGATCAGCTCCCTGTATCGAGAGGGACGACAGGATCGACTGGAAAATGGTAAGAAACTATAAGAGCTGCTTCTCGTGCTTTGATATTGGGCAGTGATTGATGTACATTGTTGTTTAGGGCTACGGGCAGAAAATAAAAGCGTTAAAGGGACTATCCCACCTTTAACATGGGGTTTGAGTTGAGATAGCCAAGTTTTCGGCGAGGTTCAGAAACCACTATCTATCTAGGTTGCAACCCCCGCGGCCTCTTGGTGTTGAAGAAATTCGTTTCCTTCATTTGAAAATGGGCCTTGTACAAGGCCCTATCTTCAACATGGAGCGACCGTTAGTGTGACGTCACCTCGTTTAGTCATTCTGATTTAAATGGGTTTGTTCGTTGAAAAATCGCTTAAAACTTGGTCTGAACATTGTTGTGGTGCCTACAGAGTAAAAAGAATCAGCTTTATGACAGTAACGTGGCCTGGGGAAGGAGGTAATTTTGGGCTGTGACGTCACATATTTGAAAGTTTGTGTTTGGAATATGAGAAGCCTAAGATGTTTAATGAAAAATAAATGCCAGAACCGTGTTCCTGGTCATCCAATCTATAAAGTCGGGCACAATTTAACTGGTTTTAACAACATTTTAGAAGGTGGGATAGTCCCTTTAAAGTGGTGAGTTTGTAAGTATAATTTTAGCGGAAGGTAAGGAAAAGGCTGAGATACATTATGCAGTTCGAAGATATTGGGTAGCGACTAGCGAAGACCCAAAAGTGAGTATGTTTCTGTCGAATATTTGATTTTGTTTGAGTGATGCTCTCAGTCTTGAACTGTCATCGTTAAAGCAGCTGCCTTTGACGTAAGCTAATCAGCATCGTCAATAACAGTGCAACTGAAGATGTTCTTCATGGCTGGGGAAGTAACTACATTTTACTGCCTTATTGATGCGGGTTTTACATCCCTGTATATCGCTCCGCGTTGACCGCCCGTCCCCGCGTTAGCTGCCGAGCCGGGCGAGGGCAGAGCGGCGGAGCCGGCGGCCCGACCCCTCCTCCCGTCCTCTGCCTCCTCTCCCAACCTGGCCGCCCCCGCGGCGCCCTCCGGTCTCCGCCGCTCCGCCACCCGGCTCCATGTGGACCAGGCCAGGTGAGCGGCTCAGTACCCGGAGGTACCGGGTTCGGTTCTATAGTTCGTTTTTTTTCAAAAGGACGCTGGCTCCAAGTATGTTTTTCGAAAAGCACGTATTTTAGCGAGCAAAACGAGCAAAAACCAGGGGGAGGCACTCGCCTTGGCCGTATATGGGCCAGAATGTCTAACGATTTCCGCCATGTTGTGTATACCAAAGTCTTGAAAAGTTGATCACTGCAATCAAACTGCAGGCATGAAGCAGCAGCACTTTTGAGTAGTGTACCTCTCACTAAACTGCACCTCTGCTACCGTACATGCAATTTATATTTCTGGTATACACAACATGGCGGAAATCGATAGACAAAAACAAGTCACCAATGCTCCTTCCAGTATATATTAGAGTTCAGTGGCAAAAACTGAACCTGAGAAAATCGAACGTCAACTAATTTTGACATGTGATTTCTTCCTGATAATTTCCATATGTGCGTTTTGGAACCATATATGAGAACAGTGGTGACGTCATACTGTCGAACATGTATTGCAATGTAACTTATAACTATCATGGACGGAACTGCTTACTCGATTATAAGCTCGGCAACAGTGAAAAACTAAGTTTCACCCAAATTCGTTGACACTTGTCCCATTGCACGGACATTTGGGTGCCTGCTGCCACCAGTGACGTCATCATAGTATGTTCATTTTTAAGAAAGAATGTCCAGCTACTTACCGTGCAGAATTTGAAATCGGTTATTTTTTCGGTAAGAAATTCTTCGCCAGACGCTGAAGCTGCCAAAACTCACGTGAGAGCTTCGATATTGAACTTTGAGCCAGCGTCCTTTTGAAAAAAAAAACGAACTATAGGTACAGGTGGATTTCTTCCTTGCATCAACAACACGGGGCAACATATTTCAGCTCTACCTTCACTCTACAGTTTCTGGGTATACGTGAATGAAGTTAATCAAACTTTACTTAAGTTTACTTTCAAACTGTGCTACATCGATTAAGCCCCGATGCATGTCAACAAACACGAAACCAACAAAAGACGCGCTAGCGCTCGTGGAAACTTCGAACGCCTCCGGTGAGAAGGACCACACGGGTTCGGTGTCTGGGTCATTTGTAACCCAGCCAACATGAACGAGTTCAATGAAAGCCTCGAAGTGAATTCAGCACCTGGTTGCCGCTTCTGCCATCGCCGCCCTACACGGTGCACCGGCTGTGCCTTTTTCGTTTGGCTCATGGCTGTGCAGTTTAAGTTGTCCTTTGGTCTGTAGCTAAAGCCGAAATGTCAGCTTGTGAGTTTGTTGCCCCGTCACACCACTGTTATGGCCGATGTTACAACGTGGCGCCCCGGCTGGCTAGGCGTGGGTTCACACCAGATGACCAGCAAAAAGACGCTGTTGTGCCGTTATTCAAAAATCGACCACACTGCCCCGTTATGCTCTGCAACACCGACTTTTAGACTCATATGTATCTCTCGGCTCGGATGAAACAGCCACCCCTTAGCGAGCACAGCCGCTATTACAGACTACAGTGCGAACATACTTGTCTCGCGTGTGCTGGAAAGTGGAAAGACTGCTATATGAACTTGCAGTCATGCCCGGCCTGCATACCCCATCCTTGTTTCTGGCAAAGGTATTTTCATGCTGCTGATGTCTGTATAATTTATAGACTAGCCAGTGCATTATGTATTCATGAGCCGGGAGCGCCGCAAACCACTTAAGATCGAATATCGATTCCTTTTCGCTTTTCTTTCTGGCCAGGCCGGTGTCGACAGAAAGTGACGGAACCAATCATTGTCTGGTGTGATAACGAACTGGTGCGATAACGAGCCATCAGCTGAAGATCGACTTCTTTCCGTTTTGTGTTGTATCCGTCAGGCGTGTAGCAAGATTACTATAACGTAGAAGGTAGCGTGAGCATAGAAGATAGGAACATAGAACTGATAGAACTGCATAGAAGATAGGATCATAGTAAACACAGTGTGTAGTTTTAGGGCCTTGGTCAGGACGGTGTTGGTGTAAACTGACCAATATCCCGTGTAACTACGAACCCGTTACCTTCAGCTAAAGATCGACTCAGTTCCGTTTTGTGTCCTTCAGGCCGGTGTCGGCAGAGGCGGCCGAGGCGCTGATGGGGTCTGTGTCGCTCGGCTACGGCCTGTTTCAGCTCACAGTGTCACTGCTGCCCGCCAAATTTGTCAAGGTACGTGTCAGACTGTCATCGCGTCGTAGCTCACTGTGTCATCGCCTCATACTGGAATACGTGTCATCGAGTTACAAGTCTGGTGTGGCTTGTGGGACACGGTGTTTCGTGATTCTTTCGTGATATCGTTAATCGTGATTTCGGGTGTCGCGGCCTTTTTTGTTATCATTTTATTATTTTGTTAGAGCTCTTGCCTCACGGTTTCGAGGCGATTGATGACTGAAGATGTCGTACCTTCCGCGGTCTACGGAACAATATCAAGCATTGTCAAACACTACGCACATGCTTTATGAATGTTCTGCGACTCGGGCCTGCGCTGACGCCTGTTGCCATCTGTTGGCAGGTGGTGCAGCTGCTGGGTTTCCAGAGTGACCGCTCGGCGGCGCTGGCGGCGCTCATGTTCTGCCGCACCAGCCGCGACATGCGTGCTCCGCTCGCCAGGTATTTGGACAAGTGCTGGCGAATTTACAAAAAAAAATGTTTTGACTTTAATTCGATGTACGTAGTGTAATGAAGGGCTTCCAGGAAATGCTATCGGGGCAAGCTGGCTGGGTATCTGGGGAATATACTTGTCAAGCCCAGCAGCAGCCTTGTGTTTTTTTTTCTTCTTAATTCATCAACAGTTGAGGTTGGGGTGACTTAAAGTTCTGCTACACCGCTTTCAACCCCGTAATTACCATCATCACAGATAACAGTAGTACTACTGTTATCTGTGCCATCATATATCCCCCCTCAGCCTGGCGCTGCTCTGGTACCACTCTGTCGTCCGCCCCCTGCTGTCTCTGGACGGGCGGGCGGTCTCCGCCGGTGTGGCCGTTCTCCTCCCTCTGCTGTGATATCACTCTATAGTCTATACTATGTCCTCCGTCCCCCAGCCTGGCGCTGCTGTGGTACCACTCAGTGGTGCGCCCCCTGCTTTCCCTGGACGGCCGGGCGGTCTCCGCCGGGGTGGCCGTCTGCCACCAGCTGCTCCGAGAGACCGAGGGACGCTACGGACAGGCGGCGCTGTTCCAGTTCTTCAGGGGACGACTGCTCAGACTCGAGGTCCGTGGTTTAACCGAGGAGTGATAATATCTACCCTGTGAAACGAGTTGGCATGGCATTATTTATTTCAGTTAATTTTCTTCCATTTTCTCTTTTTTATTGTACGTTGTGGGATCATCAAAAGACAGGAAGGCGGTTAGATGTGAATTGAAGAAATAAATGTTTTTGCATTTAGCACCTCAAATCATAGTGATTGAAGTAACTTAAATGAGTTCTGATCATTGCATATTCACTTACAACATTCTTGATGAACGGTTTATTTCGAGTACATATTGAGGTAGATGCATATCACCCACATAATATTTAGCATCCGGAGTATTCCACTGTCATCAATAATTTCATAATATGTCCAGCGGTGCTATCATCTATCTCACTGTCTCCGATCGTCTGTCACCTGACAGTCGGACTTGTCCGGTGCCATCGGCGCGTACGAGGTGGCCGCCAGTCAGGGACAGCAGGGGGAGGTGCGGCTCCTCTGTCTGCACGAGATAGGTGAGTTTTGACACAGACAGCCCGCTCAATTACTTCGAGATTTAGTCGGGGTTTGAACGTCCACAAATGAATTGATCGTTATTGCAGGATATTATACTTTTTCCAGGAGCAAAAATAATACTCTACTGTGTAGTGATCTGAGTGTTTATACAGGTGCTATCACTTGCAGGATGTATCTAAGCAATTAATTAACTAAGTAACACCCTAAACTCTGCCGATACAGCCTAGTGTCACGTCTTACTGATAATTGACCAATGGAATATGCCCCTAACCCTTCTTCTCAGGCTGGTGCCGCCTCCTTCAGCTGGACTGGGTGGAGGCTTTCGTGGCCTTTTCGGAGTTGGCCGAGCAGTCGCGCTGGTCAAAGGCCTTCTACCAGTACCTGAGTGCCCGTGAGTGGCCATTGGGGAGACGGTGGCGAGACGGGGGAGGGCATGGATAGGCTGGGATGGATATCGACTGTGACTCGACTAAATCGAGACAGTGGACTGTCGCTGCCGTTTGACCATCGCTAATGCGTTATTCACGTGTAATGTGGTAAGATATAAGTTTTGTTACGTTCTTCTGCACATACCCAGATGTACCCAGTACATTTATAAATACACAGCGTAGTGCATTTCACTACCTGAGACCTCACTTTGCAAAGACCCTTTCCTCCCTCCTCCTCCCCCCCCATTGTGTAATTTTGTCTTTGATGACGTCACCCCCCCCCCCCCCCTCCCACAGTATGCACCGGTGCCTCTGGTGACATCACCCTGGCCTCCGCGCTCCTCAAAGACATCCCTCCCCCCGGTCGTGGCCGCTCCGAACTGGATACCTTCCTGGAGAGTCGCGCGGCGGCGCTGCGCGAGCCGCGCGCCCCTCCGGCCGCCCAGCTGGCCTGCCGACTGCACGCCTACGAGCTGCTCTACCTGTGGAACGCGCTGCCGTCGTGTCCGCAGGACGTGTGGAAGGCGGTAGTGGAGGGTAAGTGGAAGGGAGGGATGAGTTCAATGGAGTGGGATGGGCTCCCGCTCAATTAATGCGGAGGTCGGGAAAGGGTCAAAGTGGAGGATGGGACTGAGGGATGTGTCATGGCTCAGAAAATGGTGTGCTAGCCGGTAGTGTTTCGACATTTGGTTTGCTATGAAAGTTAGCAATGCAGCTGCTTCCAAAAGCAGAAATTGTATTATTGTCGACCCCAAAACGACGTCCATCATAACGGAAGACTGAATGAATGATAATGTAAGGTAACGGCACGAACGAGTCGAACTTCAAGTAACCATGCGTGCGTAAACTCCCTTCGTAGATTTTACATAGCACCCTCATCATCCCTCCGTGGGCTGTGAATGGAGTGTTCACTGCACACCACTAACCCTCTAACCCCGCTACCGTCCCCCTTCCCGTCAGACTGCGAGCGCGCCGCGCTGGAGCTCCCTCCGCTGGCCGCCGTGGCGCACCTGGTCTGTGGCGGCGTGTTTGACAACACTTGTCTGCGGGAGGCGGAGAGACACTACATCCGAGCCCTCCACCTGGGGAAGGGTGACTCGCGGCGGGCGTATGTGGCGCCGCACGCCAGCTATGAGCTGGCGGCCATGTACTGCGCGCAGGCTAAGGTAGGGAGGGGAGGGAAAGGTGAAGGGGGAGTGAGGGGAGGAAGGGACTAAGGGAGGTACTAGTGAACCGACTTATAAGGACCTTACGATTTGTCAGCATTACCGAGGCTGTACTTTATTATCTGCTCGTGCTAGCCTTACTATCACGGTATTTTTAAGACGTGATAGATGAAAATTAAGAATATCTTACCTTACTATAGATTAACTTTGAAGCGACCTTCTCCTTGATATTATGTCAAAAATGAAAGAATTATTTTATAGGTGTGTTTAATATAGGTTATACAGGTGAATATAGGTTATAGGTGTGTTTTATATAGATAGGTACCATACGGCGCGAAGGATACTGATGTGTCATTTTCACGAGCTGAATTTGAAATGTCGATTCTTGTTTTTGTGACGATGTATCCGATGTATATGCTGTCTTTTCAAATATACATCTGATGATGGGCTGTGCCCGAATGCACATGTAAATAATTCTTTCATTTTTGACATAATATCAAGGAGAAGGTCGCTTCAAAGTTAATCTATAGTATTATCAATGCTCCTTGCAAAAGCACTACACGAAATATCTTACCTTTATCACGTTCCCATGCGACAGCTAAAAATATCCACATTTACAGCACTCAATTATTTTGTTACATTATCCTCCGCCTTCGGTTCCTTATCTAACCATCTCTAATACTCTGCCTTCCCACCCACAGCGCCGCGCGGAGGGGCGCACATTCTCTTTCTCACTCCTCTCTAATTCTCTCCACCCTCCCTCTTTTCCCAGCGCCGCGCGGAGGGTCGCGCCCTCCTGCTGACCGCCCGGGACGACTACAAGGACTACGACTTCGAGTCGCGACTCGCCGTGCGCATCCAGGCGGCGCTCAAACGGCTTGAAAAGACCGGCCGCGAACAGAAGAGCAAGTAAGAACGAGAAGGAGACGACGAGGAAAAGTAAGATGGAAAAGAGAAGGAGACGTCGAGTTGACAAGGCAAGAAAGGGACTTAAGGAAAGAAAGGGCGAGAAGATTTGAGAAGAGTGAACGAGCTCTTATGGGGAAGGATAGTGGAAGGAAGGTTGGAGGGACTGCGAGGGAATCACGGTAGATCTGACGATAGCGATTGAGTTTTTTGAGTCTCATATTGAATCTCGCAGCTGAGATGTTTACTCTGAAATCATCGTTTTTGGCTGTTTCTGTTTATTTTTTGTGTCGATTGTCTGGTTTGTTGATAATCTCAGGTGTTTTGCTCTGGGGAGTATTTGACAACAAGCTGGCTTTTAGGGCATGTCTTGACGTTTCGTCGTGTTTTGTTGGAATATTCAAAGTGTTTTATGCTGGAGCCTTGTTGGCAGAGAGTTTTTCTCGTCCATTTTGCGGTCTATGAGCTTAGATGCCGATACCTAGCGGGCGATTTAAGAACAATAGAGCTCGACATAGTAGGAGGAGAGGTGAAATTAAGCATAGAGCTCGAAGGTCTACTTAGGAGTTGACATTGGCACCGAATTAGTTGAGTTTAACGGGGCTGGCAACGCAGTCAAGGGAAATAGGACCCTGTAGGTTATGATTCTAATGTAAGTTTCGTCAGCGGTTGTATAAAATTACGGCCGATTTACAGTCAGTTGGGCTAAAAAATATTTGACAGCCTAAGACAGTGACGCCTTAATGCGCGTAGAAAAGCTTTACATGGCCGACCTAGCTAGAGTCTAGAGAAGACAACTACCTATATCGCGAGTCTATTTTAGTGTCCAAATGTATATCGTGCCAGTACTATTAGTGCCTAGCTCGCCAAAAGCTACCGGTGATACCTCATATAACCAATCAGATAAATAATCGCGTGGCATTATGAAATGTCACTGACTAGAAGAAAATGTAGGGAGTTATATAGAAAATACATTTAAGAACTGTAGGAGAGCTCATGTAATCGTGATTGAGACGAGTTATTAGTTTAAACATATCGTGGCAATCAGCGCCCAGCGGTTATTTTAGATTAGTGCTGTTTGTGAGGTATAGAGATATAGGTATTTAGGGTGAAGAGCCACCCCTCACTAGTTAGAAATGTGCCGCTGGGGCGGGAGAATATTGTATGTTTGTCGTTTTCTGTTCTTTAATATCTGACAGATTTTTTGTCTGACAAGTACCGTTCCGAGTCACGGCACTTTGAAAAAATTGGTTACTTTTATCAGAGGCTACTGTACTGATATGGATAGTCTATGCTTTTATCTGTGTTTTTTTTTTCGATGTTTGTTTGACTCTTCGGTATTTAACTCGCTCGCGATCAGGGTATTACTTTTGTGTCTGTGTTCACTTTGGCTTAGTGTTGGTGCACGCCGGCAGCTTGGAAGCAGCACCCATGTACCATGCACCATGTAACGGTATAATCAGAACGGGTCGTGCGCTCGATGTGAGTCCCGTGGCACCACAATGGCACGTGTTTGTGCGTCTCGCGATCTCGCAAGATTTTAGCTGTGATTACTAAACAAAGGGTAGATCATATGGCCTTGGGTAGATCGGGTAGATGGCATACCGAATTCACCTGGTTTCGCTGTGAGTGGGATGTGTGGTAGTGGTGGAAAATGGTAGATCTAATAGCGCAATAAATTGATTCGGCAATCATATCCTTGTTTGGTCTATCGTCAGCTATGCTAACGAGTTGGAGAGGGAAGGCCGTTTGAGGTTGATTTTTTCATGCAACTTGGATACGGCAAAACATAAGCGTAACTCGTGACGGAAATTGCACCTTTAGTATGTCGAGGAATTTAACACTAATCTTCTATTCATCGTCTAATGAACGGGGACATGCAATTATGTAAAACAAGAACCGACAAGGCCAACCGCCGACTCCATGCGTTGAAATGTTCATTTTTATGTCGTTTTAATGAGTTTACTGGGTTCGGGTTTCAGCAGGCACGATGTCGTTAGGCGCGTTTACGCCGTATTTAGGGTCCTGCCGGGAAATACAACTGGTTTGGTGAAATTTGACACTGGGAATTCGGACCATCATGTAAAGGAGTATGGATGAAAATGGTCGAGTCTCGTATTTTTTCCGATACAAACACTTGTAACAAAACTCGTAAAGGAAAATGTGGCGTTGTAAAATGGCACGATGAAATGTATAAGTTCTTCACATTTTAACCCTGCCAACTTCTTAAATCAGCTCGTCTTTACTCAGCTCGTGGAAATTCCTATCCTCTTCCCACAACCTACGTGCCCAAACCTGTTTCTACAAACCCACACTGCAGATGAGCTTGTTAGGATTTTGGGAAACCGGGTAAATGTATTAGGCACCGTCTTCAGTCTGGATATGCCAGACACTTATCACAGAAAAACACTGATCCCGTATTCACACGTTTACTTACAACAATGCATATTGACGTGAATACACAGAAGGCACATATTTTACTTCTCTGTATGTTTAATTAGCACCAAAAAAGTTGCGTTCTTATTTTTATCTTCGCCTGCTCCTTGTCATTGGTACCCAAAAGTGAAGTTAGGGCTCAAATCCTTCAATAATTGGCATACTTTTTTTCTTTGTAAATCTTACACGAAAAGTAGCATGCACATTTTGAAAATATTTTGTAACGGAATTCGACAGCGGATACCTAATGATGTATGTATTTTCCTCCAAATAATTAGTTTCGAGGACACGCACCTTAAATGAATTTATCTTTACCTACATCACCACATAGCCCTTGCCAATGGCGACAAAAGGCAAAGACCTGTCACGAAGTTATGTAAGAAAGCGCGATTGTGGGTATCCCTAGAATAAAATGTACAGAAAAATGATACTCGCAAAACACCCACCATAGTAAGTATGTATGATCCTATCACCTAGGATAACTGTATCCCCTGTCAAACAATACACATAGCCTACCGTGACACCAACCCACCCCTCCCCTCCTCTCACGGACACACCTCATACCTCACAACCTCTCCCTCTTCCTCTTTCCTCCTCCTGCCTCTATCCACCCTCTCCCAAATCTCCTCACGAACCACAGCCAGCCCGACCACCATGAAAAACGACACGGGAACCGCGATCACCAGATCGAACGCGAATAAACCGGTGGCGACAGGCTGCCGACGCCAGTCGAGAACCGGGTAGAAGGCGGTGTTGTCGCGTTCGGTCAGACCTCCCAGCTCTGTGTAGGTGATGGTGAAGATGAGGTAGATGGCAGCGACCAGAGCGGGCTGCCAGACGTGCAGAGGTCGACGGGGTACCCTGGGGGAGAGCAGAAGTTAGTTAGGGGGAATTTGAAGAGGAGAGGAATTTAGAGTTTTGGATTGGAAACTCTAACCTTCGCTAGCCTTGAGGGACGTTACTGATCAGAAGAGTACGTACATGAAAGAGAGAGATAAGGAATGAGAGAGTAAGAGAGAGAGAAAGAGAGAGAGAGAGAGAGAGAGAGAGAGAGAGAGAGAGAGAGAGACCGACAGACAAACACACAGCCACACAGATAGATTGAGCCAGAGGGAACGAATGGAGTGATCCGGCCCCAACATACGCACAATATCCAAAAACGCACCTGCGACCAACATTTAGCGAGCAGCAACGCATCAGGTCCCGGCTTCACGCCCACAGTGCATACTCACCTTTAGTGCTAGAATACAAAACAGAAGCAACGAAAGTCAAACAGCAAACAAGCCCATGACAGCAAACAAGCCAAGAAGCACCAAACCAGCCCCCCCCCCCCCCATCTCACCTATGCACGGCAAGCAGCAGCAGCAGATACAGCCCGTTCCCGCCGTGAGAGGAGACGGTAAAGTAGTTGATAGAGTTCGGTCCGCTCTCCTCGGCAAAGAACACGCTGGGCCAGAAGGCTATCGAGACGGTGAAGATCAGCGCGGCGCTGATGTTGTGTAGGAGCCAGCTGAGGCGGTAGCGTAGCGGTAGTATAGTGCCGTCTAGTAGACGACCTGGGGAATATCGGTATGTGAGGGCACCGACGGGGGGAGGGGGACTATGGCTCTTCGCGCTGGTTGAAATTATACTGAATCTACAGGATTTTTTGCTGGTGACGATTGACTTTTAAATCGGCTTGGATACGGTCAAAGACTTTAAATTTTCTTTATAAGAATAATTTCTTCATTTCTCATGACCCTGACCTCCCTATCTCTTTACTCTCGTTCTGACTCTCCTGAGCTAGCCTCACCATGTGACCTGTCTCTGACCTCTCCTGGCGCTGACCCCACCATATGACCTTTCTCTAACCCTTGACCTCACCCTATGACCCCTCTCTGACCTCTGCCGACCCTGAGCGCGTGCTCCAGCGCCAGTGCCGCCGCCGCCGTACTGTTGGCGGCCACCAGCAGCTGCGTCCAGTTGGTAAGGTAGATGAAGAAATGGGAGGCGTGGTGGGCGCCGTCCCACCAGCCGCCGGACTCCACGGGGGTCAGGAGCTGAGGTAGAGGGGTCGAAAAGGGGTCAACAGCTGAGGTAGAGGGGTCGAAAAGGGTCAGCAGCTGAGGTAGATGGGTCGAAAAGGGGTCAGCAGCTGAGGCAGAGGGGTCGAAAAGGGGTCAGCAGCTGAGGTAGAGGGGTCGAAAAGGGGTCAGCAGCTGAGGTAGAGGGGTCGAAAAGGGGTCAGCACTGCTGACAAACAAATGTCAACAGGGGTCGGTAGCTAAGTCGGAGAGGTCGCCAATGCTATGTAGTGCTAGGATAGCTGAATTCATCTATATTTGTTTCACGCCGTCCAAAATGTTGTTCGCATTGTGACGAGTAACTGCTTGAGCGTTGAGACTTAAAAACGTGCCTTTTTAAGTTGTTTATTAAACATTGTAGGCTGACTTTCATATATCGTCTGTGTTTGAACTTCCTAATCTACGATGAAAGCAACAGGCCCTTTCCGTCACGCTGGGGGACTCGGAGCCTGCATCTCATGGTGTTGTGCTCTGGTTTGTGGTTAGGCTGTGCCGCCATACACCAAGGATTCCGGCGCAGCATAACTTTATCGTCGTTTGTCGGATACGCAAAGCCCCGTCAAATTGAGGGCCAGGAAGGAAAAAAAGAAGGTGGATCACCTTTTTAATTTTAAAATATGTGTCTACTTATTGCTTTTATTGACCATGTTCAGCAGCTGTTCGCAACGACATTCATGTTTTGGTACCTACCTATCCCAGATGACGATTTCCAGTCCATCAAAAATACAAGTTTAACGATCGAATGCATCATTTACAGCATGTTTTTACAGGAATATGAGGAGGAAGCTCGCTCTCCATAGTGTTTCCATACCTTGACGCCGATCTCGACGTTGAGATACAGAGCGCTGACGCAGCTGAAGGCCACGTACCACCAGGACGCGCCGCTCGGGTCCTGCCACTGGCTGGTACCGAAGTCGGCCGGAGTGCCCACAGCCAGGTCATACTGGCCGTAGAAGGTCGCCAGAGACATGCTGACGACGGACGGGGGGGGGGGCATCTCATAGACGTGAGCTGTGTTTATTGGCTGGGGTTACTTTGGAACCCGGACATTCGTACATGATTCAATTGCTCATTAGATTCATAACACCAACCGTTTACCAAAATTATCAACAGTATTTCATGGCACATCTTGTGAGCTGGTACATACATACGAGGGTCATCTCGATTTCGTAGATCTATATTACGATTATCAAATTCGAAACTTGCGGTACACTAACGTTTGTATGTAAATGGTAAGACCTATAAATGGATGCACGACAAATGCTCAGCAGTTACGAATGACAGAATCCGCCAATCTCATTAGCATTGGAAAGTTGACTTCCGCTAACCAGAAAATAGAAATGTCTATTTTCACTCTTACCTGTCGCTATCTCCGGCAAACAAACGTGGCCAGAAAACCTGCAGCACTAGAGTTTCTTCTCAGTCCGGACTATGACTAACCCAAACCGGAACTGCAGCGTCTGAGCCCCTCTATCAGGCTACCGACTGACCAACTACCAAGCTCCGAGCCACCGGCATAGAGCGACCTCATGATCGTTTGTCAAGGGTGCCAGATCGTGTGTCAGGTGTTTGTCAGCGGGAGTTTGTCAGTGTTTGTCTGTCTAGGGGATGTGCTCTCCACGGGAGGTATACAGCTGGACCTCCTGGGTTGTAGCATGGTGATGAGTCCCGTGGTAATGAAAGTCGAAGTAGATCATCAGTTTATGAGACGGATGCATCCGCATGCTCCCGTCTGTTCAGAAAATGGAGACATACATACAAGCTAGCAGTAAGATGGCATTATATTTCATTTCACTCGTCGCAGATTTTCCCGGCCGACGTGACAGAAATATTGGATCAGTAGGGAAGTAAAAGCGGTCAAACGTTTCGATTCCGCATACTAAATCAATTTTACTAAATCGGCGAGCCTTTGCCAGGAAATACTTCAACAATCAGCTTGATGCAAAAAGCTCGACACTGCTTGTTGCATCTGTCCGAGGGCATGTTTCGAGTTGAAGGTTCTTCCTTATATGTGATTGTGTAACCCGTTATCAATTTCCAGCGCATCGCTTGCCGTTAATGGGAATTCGCACGCACGGGTCTGGTCATTGTCCGCTTAAGGTCGACCACAAAAATGCTTCGCTAGCTTGATTATGAAGATGACAACGCGACAGTCAATTTTACCCTGTCAGGCATTCGTTTTTGGTTTTAGTTGCAC